CATGGGTCCAAAATCATGCTAGGTTTTGGTTTTATGATTTTATGGGCAGCAAATGAATCATCTCTAGCTAGTGTTTTCTTCCACCTTTCTTGATTTAATCTCTCATAATGATCAAGCCAAAGGGCTTGAATTAGGTCTAAGAATTGAGGATTTAGGTGGGTGTTTCTAGATTGGGATCCATGTGCATTGTTTGGGTTTTGCTATAAGGAGGAATTAAGAAATCGATCAAAGATCCCGAGTACCATCGAAAGGAGGAGACTCGGCGTGAGGTGTACTAAGCTCGGTTGAGATAATCTTTAGCACCTTGTTTTGTTTTTTCCATATTTATTTATTATATATGTTCTATTTTCTTTGTTATTGATAGAAAGGATTTGAATGACTTCAAATTCTTGAGATCCTACTGTATTTTATTTATTTTTATTTTATTTGAAGTTATTATATTGTAAAAAGACTACTTGCAAGTAATCTAGACTATGAAGAAAAAAATTAATAATTGAAAATTAAAGGAAAAAAATATTATATACTCCGGCTAGATTACACGTGTCCTTCTTTCATTTGTAGTAGAGCTGTTGATACTTGTTACCATTAGTGATCTTTTCTCTTTATTTGAGTCTAGATCTAGCTTAAGAATGAGATATAAGAAAGCTAATGACCTTTGTGGTCAAGTAATACACATCTGATTAATAATTATTGGAATATTCAAACACAAAAAAAAGCACTCTGCAGAATGTGTATTCTGTGATATTATGGAGCAGTGACATGAAGAAGATAATAGTTATTTTTAAATTGCACACTTCAATGATATTATGTGTTTTTTAGAGTAGGATCTACTTTCAAAATTTTAGTGGAAGATCCTGGGGGAATTGAGAGTTATGGACTCATTAATGAAGGGTATAAATTTCGACCCTACAAAACCTAGGAACTATCCATTGAGTTCTATGAATTTTTTCACCAATCATTTGATTTTATTTTTAGCTAAAATTGGATTGTAACTCATCAAATTGAGTATACTTTCAAATAAAAATTAATGAAGAAACTATTTATAGTTTGAAAGATATGATCATTTTATTGAAGGGTGCGCAAGTGCTGTTTTATGCAACGAAAATTGTTTTAATTCTCGGAAGTCATGATTTTATTTTAATTCTTAACAAAATGTTTGAAGGCCCACACCAACTTTCTAGACTTCTATTTTGAGTCTAGTTTTTAATAAAAAAATTTAAGAGAGAAATATCTATAGGAAGAGAGGAATAAATTTTTTTTATTGAAGAGAGGTTACGTTTAGCAGTTTGATGTGTTCTTCATTGAGACATAAATAACTATATTTATCAAACCTACTTAATAGAGTGATATGAGGCTTGTGGAAACATATGTGCTACAATTTTGTATCTACTTTCAAACAAAATTGGTTTGAAAATGACTTTAAGGGTATTCACGAGTTTGTAGCAGCACAAACAATGTAGTTATCTATAATAAATTAAAAATAGGAAAAATTTCTCCATACCCTTTATTTTTGGAACCCATTTATCAAAAGACCTAAGGTTTAGAACCTTCATTATTGTATAGGGTTCCAATCTTTTATATCTTCTAACCTTCTGTACTCAAATAACCCCAATTACCCACATATTATTGATCCAAACAAATAAAAAAATGACACATTTTTCTCTCAAAGACTCAAACCTTGGGTCCCTCTTTCTCTATTAACTTCTCTCTGTCTCTCTTAAGAGAGAGCATAATGTGTCTCTCTCTCCTCTTTCTCAAAGCCAAGTTTTGGCTTCTCATTCGTGAAGCTTTCTTCTACAAAATCAGTTCCAGAATGGCCTCAAAAGCCCAAATTCCTCTTCACAAATCCCATTCCTTCTTGTTGTGCAACAGAGATTTGAGGCCTTCCGCCATTGCATGCCTCTCTCTTGGAAGCTTAGAGGAACCCCAACTTGTTCTTGAAGCAATTGCAGTTTTGGCAGCCATTATCATAGTCCATGACAGTGGCCATTTCTTGGCTGCATATCTGCAAGGAATCCATGTGAGTATATTTGCTGTGGGTTAGGGAAATTCAATTCCAAGAATGTGGGGTTCTCTATCAGGGCCTTTCCTTTAGGTGGTTTTGTGGGTTTTCGAGACAATGATCCCGAGAGTAATATCACAGTTGATGATGAGAATTTGTTAAAAAATATACCAATTATCGTTAAGGTACTAGTTATGTCAGAATTTGTTGAAGGATTATGCTCTTGAGATATAATTCTCAATGTAAATGGTAATTCTTTGTCCAAATCCACTTTCTCTGTTTTTGAAGTTGTTGATATGAAAAACAAAAGCCCTGGTAGGAGCGTCGCGATAAAGGTAGATAGAAAAGATGAGATTTTGGAAATTGGGGTCACCCTAGATTTTAACTCAGATGGAATCAAAAGGATTGGGGTTCAATTGTCAGCTAATTTTAGAGTTTCGAAGCTGAAACCCATGAATCTCACTGCGGTTACGGTCTATGCTAGCAAGGAGTTTTAGGGTATTTCTATGAATGTGTTGAATAATTTGAAACATAATTTTTTCAAATTTTCACATTATGCGAGCAAGGTTTCAGGGCCTATAGCCATTATTGTTGTAGGAGCAGAGTTGCAATCTCAAACACAGATGGCTTCTATCAATTTCAAGTCATTCTTAATCTTAATCTTATAGTAATAAATTTGCTTCTTTACCTGCTCTTGATGGTGGGTCATTGGCTCTTTTACTTGTAGAGATGGCAAGAGGGGTAGAAAGATCCCCCAAGAAGTTGAGCTAATGATGCTCAGAGGATTTTTTAGAGAGAGAGAGATAAACATAGAGAGTTTGGGATTTTGAGGTAGAAAGATCCCCTAATAAGGGCTTGAGAGATATATGGGTTTTTTTTAGAGTGAGAGAGAGGATAGAGAGAGAGACCGTTGAGATTTGGGGTTTTTGAGAGAGGCCACAAGGCTTGAGAGCTTTGTGGGGTTTTTTTTGTTTTTGAGAGAGAGAGGCTTGAGAGCTTTGTGGGGTTTTTTTTTTGTTTTTGAGAGAGAGAGAAGAGAGACATTTTGCTCAATTTTGAGAGAGATATTATTTTCTATCTTGAGAGAGACAATAAGAAGTTATAGGAAGAATGAAATTAAGATAAATGAGAAAAATGTGTCATTTTATGATTTGTTTGGATCAATAGTATAAGATCAAATAAGGTTATTTGGTTATAAGGGGTTGAAGATACAAAAGATAAAAAGATTTTGAAATCTTGGGTCTCTTTAGAAATAGATTCCAAAAATTGGGAGTACGGAAAAATTTTTCGTTAAAAATAATCATCCAAAAACATTCAAAATAGATTATTTTTTATGTTTACAAGTTAAATTTGTTTCAAATTCATGATCGTGATAATCGAGATTATCAACTTGCTAAATTTTAGATCCAAAATCAATCTCTAGGTTCAAGCATCTAAATTACTGAACCGCTAACCCATCAAAACCCTACACTCCTCAGCCTTTTTTGCTTTTTACAATGTTATTTTATAAAGGTTTCTATATTTACTCTATAGCATAAAAGATCTATGCTTCCCCTATCGTCCAGCCGTCTAATTTTGATCAAGATAGCCACTCACCGTTTGATCTTAAATCCAACTTCTCAAAGTATTTTATTTTTATTTTTTTTAATACAAATTTTATGAATATGAAATTTAGTACGTACTATCTTCTCATTGGGGGGCACATATAAAAAATATTAAAATTAATTTTTTGATAAAATATGATGACCAAAATATCACTTGAAACTTTTAAGGTATGTTGGTCATTTTATTTTATTAAAAATATTTTTTTTATATTTTTTGCTAGTAAGAGTTTAATAGTGGATTGGATGTACAAATTTTTGTGTTAAAATAGTTTGTAGAAAAAAATTAAAAATAAAATGGTGTAGATATGTGATATTGTGACTGGGGCAATCTTAGCCCTCCATTCAGAATTGACGGTTGGATAAGGGGAACCATATAAGTTTTATGTTGTAGGGGAAGCATAGAAAGACCCGATGGCCTGAATTTTGGTTCAATCGGAAGGCTCGATCATAACTGCGTTCTCTGAAATCTGGACCGCTCATCAACGAGTCTTCACCCAAAAAGACTAGAAACTCGCTGGTTTTCTTGATCGGAAGATTCAATATTCGGAAAACAGTAGCCGTTACCAGACACGCTCAACGGTAACCTCTCCCTCTTAATTCTCTTTAAGAAAAATGACGAAAACTACCGACTTCTTTATAACTAAATATCCCAAAGAAAAGCATAGTTCCACTTTTACCCTTCCATAACAGTCGCTTCTCGCTGCGGATTTCTCTCTAGCGAACAGTGAAAGACTTTGTCATTTAAATAAAAGTATTGGGATAATTTTGTCAAATTCCTTCTTCAAATTCAAATTCACTATAAAACCTTCGGTGAACAATGGAGCTTTCAGAACCATTTCATAATTTCATTTAAGCAAGAAAAGACCCATTAATCTACGAAGGAAAATTCATTCAAAATTTCATAAAAAAATGGTTTCTACAATGGGAGATGATGCAGAAGAAAAATGGGTAGAAGAAAGAAATGAAGAAGAGGAGGAAGAAGGAGAAGTTTTGGATGATTCCTCCGACGATCCTACTTTCGATATTGCAGAGGAAGCTCAGTCGAGTTTATCTAAGCTTTCAATGAGGAAATCTCGGTAGATGGACCCCTCTCTCTCTCTTTCGCTGGGGTTTCTTTATTTTCGTTTATAAAAGTATTTAATGATGTTTAACTATTTCGAGTTGATCTCTTATCTTGCCGGTCTGCATATGAATCGGCCATCACCTGCTCTGATTTGGTCTTCAGGTTGAAATCAGCCCCAAAACAGAGCTGGTTTTGACCTAAACGGCCCAATCCCATCAACATGAAGGACAAAGGGACAGAGAATCTGAAGGTTTTAAGAATTTAATCAATATGAAAGAATTACATTTAGAAATATGAGACATTTGGAATGAATTTTTGTAGTTGCGGAGCTCCGAATTAATTTTTTTGGTGAGAATAAACAGCACAAATTCTTTTTTTGGTGATTCAGGGATTTTCTTTTATGGGTTTTCCTTATTTTACCAGTTTTCTCTATTTTTTTTTCTAATGATTTCAGTATTTTGAGAAGCCAATTTCATTTTTCGTGGGTTATTTTGCTTCTAATCTCCAATATTCTTGATCTAGGATTATTAAGATCATGAGTTTTCTCATTTCTGATTCTTTTTTTAAAAAGTAGTTCATTATTCAGGGTTTCTGGTTTTCAGGGTTAAGAAATGTGCAAGTAATGATTCTAGTGGGGATGAGTCGGAAGTCCAGGGCATGGACATCCCGGCTCTGAATGAGAAAGATGAGAAATGCTTTGAACAAATTGAGAAGATCATCAAAGGTTATTAAACTAAGTCTCTCTCTCTCTC